AGGCGAGGGAGCGTTCAAACATGTTTTTTTGCAGCAGTATCGCACCAGAAACTCCCCCAAGAATGTAAAACGGAGGACCCCATTACGCTTTGTACATTCCGGGTTGGATGTAGCGATCGTGCTGGTTCAGTTAGGTCTAGCTCATGTAGCACCCATGGTTGTGCTTTTGACGGGGACGCTTGGTCACCCTGGTGTCACGGCCCGGTGCGGGCTTCTACGCGCCCTTCGCCACACATTCTGCCTGGCGAGCTTTGATTTGATCTTTGCGGGCCAAATTGGTGCACCAAGCTTGGGGTAGTTTGTAGAGCCCGCCGGGGTTGACAGTCTGACCGGGAACTCTCCGCGGACGATTACTGACCTCTTTGCTCCATATGTCCAGGCAGGTTCGACGATTATGGCGGGACCGGGAACACCTGTCGCAGACCCAGTTAGTGTTGACTGCCGAGGTTGCACGGGCAATAGTGACTAGAAATGTAGTGTGAATACTAATTGTTGGCCTTCGATGGAAAGATTTCGAAGCATGTCGTCGTGTGTGTCTGTGTGTGGCTCGAGCAGTTGTGAAACCATCAAAATGCTCGCCGTGTCGGTGAGACTGAGAGTGGATGCAACATCAAGGGTCTTCCCCCTTGTTGTTCGCGCCAGCAACTCATGCCCCACAGTTAGTGTGCAATGTGGGCACTTATACCTGAAGATCCCTCCAGTACCCGCTGCACTCGCTACGAGGTGAATTCGGCTGGGCCCACACGCTGGCGATTGGAGCTTGGCGCCCAAGGTGAGCTGCCAGCGCTGCCGGGAGACCGAGAGCCTTGGACTATTTGGATTCTCAGCTCTCAGCCACTTCTTCAGCAAACGAAGCCAAGGACGGTGTGCTGAGGATTGCGTGTGGCGACGCCGCCTGCGCCTTACGCAAGTTGTTCGCCCATGCAAACCATGCATGGTCATGCGCAGGCATCATGTCAAAAGGACCGAGAGCACCAAGCTACACATCATCATCACTACCATCATCATCATCATCTTCTTCTTGTTGTTTCATTATCATTATCAGTATCGCCATCATCATCACATCGCCATCGTCACCCTCATCATCGTCCTCATCATCATCTTCATCACCATCACTATAACCACCACCACCATCATCATCATCGTAACCATCATCACCACCAACATCACCATCAGCACCATCACCATAACCCTAATAACTTATCACCGCCATCATCACCACCATCATCATCACCATCAGCACCATCATCATCATCATCGTCGTCATCACTGCGATCAGGGTCTCATAATTCTGGTTATCAGCAGATGCATTCAACGCTGTAGCTGGACAGTCTGCAGAGCGACGTGTGCTTCTTCCATCACTGTTAGCTTTGCTGAGCCCTATAAGCAGAGAGGAAGTATGCCGGCGTACCAAGCCGCGTACTCTCTCGACGCTGTTGTCACTCGCAGATGCCTGCATGGTTTTGTTGTGGTCTTGGCATGGACCATCTTCCTGGTTGTTCTGACTTACCGTTTCCCTGCCATATGGTCCGGATTGGCAATGTTTCCTTCATCAAGGACCGGTCGTGGGTTTCGTCTGGCCTGCAATTCGCTGTCAAAAGAAACCCATGATCAACCCCCATCCGGCCACGGATCTGAACACTGCCTCGATGCTAGAAGGTCTTGGCAGTTTTGGCCGCTGGCAGCGTCCCGAAGCTTTGTTGCATAGTTGGGTTTCAGGAACGATGGCATGCTTCGAGGCATGTATGCTTGTCAGTAGTGTTTCCGTTCTATCCTACCTGGGCTGCTTCCTGAAGCGTTGCATTTCAGTCTGGCCCTCCATGTTGACAGTTTGACGCATCAATCCGCGCATGCCTTTGCGTGGAGTGGGCCAAAGGACGCTGCAGGGCCCCCCGCGGCTGGTGGTCCGTGACGAGCTCGGGGAAGAACTTGTCTTGGAAGGCTGGACTAGCCTTGCTGCTTCTCTCAGCTGCTGCCTTGAGGTCTGTAACAGGATCCTGCAGCCGTCCTTGCGGCATTGTGAACTCGGTAGAAGTGGATTCGAGCCCAGTTGATGGTAGCGGCTGCTGTGGTGTCAAAAGTGTCAAGCATCCCTTCAATCTATGAATCTCACCCTGCTTGGTTTTGCTCCGGAGGTGATGACAGAGGACCGACTGCAGACTGGGTTGCGGAGTGGCTCCCGGAGAGGCGGCCTTTTGAAGAAAGTGTGCAGGTTGTCAGTGCATCTGCGAACACAAAGATGGATCGTGTCGGAATGCAAGCAAGTGATCGGAAGGCTGAGTTTGAACTCTCAACTGTCATCACGCGACTTGCAGGCCCGGTCCATACGAAGTTTTTGTGCTCTACCCCGGTGTCGGGGAGAACGAGGAGTTTGCTGAGACAGCTTCTGAGTCGGAGAGAGAGAGAGAGAGAGAGATAGAGTGAGGCATGTTACATGTGGGAAGGCTACTATTGTCTACTTTCGTACGGCTTGTCGTTGAGAAATCCCACACAACTTTCGTTCATACCCAAAGACGTTACCATAGTTTCTAAGGAAAACCGGGCAATCCGCCTATCCTTTGTTCTGCACGGTTTACTGTTCGCTTTGTTGCTTCTGAGATAGGGGACCCCCGGAACACTCTTGTCCCTTATATCGGGAACCATGCAGATGCACGTTGTACCATGTCTTGCCACCAGTGTTGTTGTACTGAACCTCAAGGCGTGAATTCTTTAAACAGGATTGGGGGGGAAATAAACCTCTTGGTCCTTCTCCGGTCTCATTCCACAAGGCCCATACTGGCCTGCAATCCTAGTTTCTTTTCAACACGCCTTTCTGAGGCAACCAGTGATAAGAATTCGGGGGATTTGGAGGCTTTAATTCGAATCCGAACAAACCTTGATGAGCCCGGGGGGAACCGAAGTATGTATTTCCTTCAACCCCTTACTCTTTTCGAGCCCGCCTGGAGTACAGGGACGCTCAGTTTTCTTTAGGCTTGGCCGCGGCCTTAGGTGTGTTTTTTGTGTATTGTTTGCTGCTTTCAGTTGCTGCGTCCCCCGACTACGGAGACTATCCGAGTAAACCCATATTGGACACTCTCCTTCCAGTACAGCCCGAGAGAGAGAGAGGCAGCCTCGACCCCCAAGCAAAGCAAAGCAAAGAGAGAGAGCCGGTATGGGCTTCAAGATGGCAGGTTAGACTACTGACTACTGTCTGGGGGATGAGAGAGACCTTGGTCTTTCGGGTCTGCAGCAGGGTCCAGGCAGCTGGAAAGTCCTTACAAGCTGGTACACGCAGAGTCGCATTCAGCGTCAGAGTTCGCACTGCCCAGACAGTCAAGGAGATGCTTGATGTAGCTGCCCCGACCTGGCAACTTGTGGCAGCTTGGACTGGTAGGTATTGGAGTGGTGGGGCCTGAGTGCTGGAAGCATGTCGGCTTACGGTAGCATTGGGCGTCTTTGGCAAGGCGGCTAAACGCCCAGTTCAGGGTGGGCGGTGAAGCTGGAAGAGGAAGGGAAAGAGCTACATCATTCATACCGAGTGACGGCAGCAATTGTAGCAAACAGGTTGAGAGTTTAGAGGTTGAGGCTGGTGTGACATCTCCCCGACTCCCAAAATCCCAAACTCAGAACAGCATGTGTTTAACATGGCTTGTGCTTCCCCGTCAGCTTCCGGCGTTTCGGACCACGGGGAATGGCAGATTTGACGAAGCTTTGCCAGGTGGAGCCGGTTTTGCGCCGCTGTGCCCGCGTTTGAGCCATATGGAATCTGTAAAGGTCAGTTTGTGTTCTGGCAAGAGCCAGCCTTTACTTTCCTTCGCAGCCAAGTTGACGTGGTCGAGTCATGTCCACTTGCCGGTGCTTGATCTGAGGATGCACGTAACCGTCGCGGACTGCTTGTAACCTCTAGTTTGTGACTGATTGCAAGGCGTCAAGGGGCAGCACCTCCCGTGTCGCTCTGTCGCCAGACCGAAGCATGGGTGTTGTGATTTCAGACGTTTTTCTCGAAGAGGAGCGAGATCCTCTCTTCCAAGTTTTCTTACTTTCTGAGGGGTTTGGTATTGGAAATTCTAGCGGCGGAATGGCTTTGGCTTCCCAAAGATCCTCTAAAGGACTTGTTCTGTGTCTGTCGTTCCAGCCACTGCAAGCGCAACATGGCAGGTCGTCCAGCTTACCGTCCTCTCGCGACTCGCCGGTCCTATCGAGCGCTGGCCGGAGACACTGGCCCCGCAGGCGCCGGCTTGGGTCTTGGGCCACAAATTCGACACGGACATGTGCGCTTTTCTTGATGCCACCGCGTGCAGACGACAGCGTGGGTTGAAATGTGTCGATCTCCAGAGTGCAAGACGTCACGTGTCTGCTCTTTCGGGTCAGAACATGGGAAACTGAGACGCATGTGCGAGCTTTCGGGACTGATGCAGCACGCACCTGTTCGGCTCAATGAAGCAAGAGCGAGGGGATATCTGATCGAGGATCCCTTTCCGGTTGAGCTGCATAGTGACGGCTGTCCGAGCCGACATGCAGCACGACGAGCTGTACTCGCACATCCTGCGGCGACGTGGGGGCTTGCAAGTCACTTGTTTCGAAGAGTTTTCGAAGGATGCCCGCTTGCCTACGGTATGTATCTTGCGACTTAAAACTGGACCTTGGCATGGCTTGCAAGGATAGATGAGAATGAGCACGACGACGTTTTATTGTAATTAAATGGTGCCCTTGTCAGGGCAGGGTGTCTGTGCCACTGTAGATGTGATGTGAACACAATTCGGCATCGGACAGCAAGGCGAAGGCCTCGGCAGAGGTGCAGCAGAGCGCTGGCGCCGCAATCCGCTTCCCTTACACCGAGGTAGTCAGCTCGGAATCTGAAAGCTGAGCTCACAAGATGCCAAGCCGAGCCTTGATCCACTGTGAGCCCTGAGGGCGGGTTGAGAAGCAGCCGAGCAGCTGTCTACTGGGCGTGGCTCCAGCTGGCCATTGGCCAGAGGTGATGGGTCTCAGCTCCTCTGCATGTCTGCATACGACGGCTGGACTTCTGGTTTTATAGCCTACTGACCTACTGTCCTTGACTCTGGCTGCGAGGGGTTCTGTCTGTGCGCGCGGCTTGCATTAACGATGTGCAAGGCTTGCAGCTGCCGCCACCGCCTCCAACATTTCCGTTTCCGATGTTCTTTCGGATCCCAGTGCTGCAGGCCATAGCGGGGCTGCGACAGTTTTTGTCCGAATCCTCACGAGCTCCCGTCAGGCATCATCCGCTTTGCTGAGAAGCTGGGGAGACCTCTCAGCGCCCAACTTTGATTAAGTTAGTTGATACCTTGCCTATTTAGGCTATTGGCACCACACATAGACCCCCCCGCACACCAAAATCCAATTT